ATTTTTTTCTGCTGCTGTTACAAATTGTAACTTCAAAAAGGTATTTAAAAAAAGGAAATTGCTACAATTCTTATAATAGACAAAAAAAAATGCTAGCATTTATTTGTTCGTTTTTGGATAGTGCAGTAGTTTTAATTAGCAATATATTAGCATATAAAAAAAATCGAAAAACGATACTATTTTTTTGGGGAGAGGGGGGTCTGGAGAGGCCACAACCGTTATTTCGCTGGGGGGCCAGGATGACCTAAAGACAAGCCTGATCACAATAATTCTAGCATTTATAATCTGCTCTACCGTTTGTACCATTTAATGATCTACTCAGCAATCTGTTCTGCCAATTGTACCTACCCCCAAAATTGGCTTCAATAAAAAAACCCGGAGTCACTTAGCAATTATACGTCATTGGATTGCCGTAAACAAAATTTCTGCCGTCCGGCACAAAAAAAAAAAATAAAAATTGGCTTTAATAAAAAAACCCGGAGTTTAATGTGATTTGAAAATGTAATTTTTAACAATCCATCTCATCATAGAGTATTATATTTATTTTTAACATCATTATTTACTAGTTATATAAAAATAAACAGTATATAATATTTAAATTTAAAAAAATCTCAAAAAGAGTTTTAAAATTTATCTTTTTATTACAACAACAACAAAAACAATATATTTACCAGTAAATATTATGCAAACTTTGTATAATATATATCACCTTTGTAACATATTGTAGCATATATTATATTATCACCTTTGTAACAAAGGTGATAAAATATAGCTTATTTAAATAGTAGGAAAATAAATAGGCAAAAGGCCTAGTTAAAACATTGATTAAAACCTTGTATACATTACAAGCTCATAAAGGAAAAAGATAACAAAACAAGCTAAATGTTGAAAAAAAAAAAGAGTAAATGAAAACAAACAAAAAACAAAGCAAAAATAAAATAGAATATGATATATTATATATTATATCATTATAATAGAATATGATATATTATATCATTATAATGCTACTGGAAAACTATCGTCTCTAATTAAGTAAATTTAATAAGAATAGTTTAAGTTTGTTTTTTAAACTTTTTTATTTAGTTCACAAAACTAAGGAGTAATAAACTTTTTTTGTAGGAAATTCCAGTCATTAACTGCAAATTTCTTAAAGGAATGTCTACAATAGAATTTTGTTCAAAAGCTTGAACACACAATTTGCCTCTTTGAGACAGTCTAGTAGTAGGGTTTGGGCATTTATTAATTGAGTAAATCATTCTGTAAAGCTAGAGGGCATCTTATCATTAATGCTACTCTAAATAAAAAGACAATTTTCAATTTTTATGTAATTTGAAAAATCTATTAATTAGAGACCTTTGAGTAAACTATTTAGAAAGGGGGAGGGGAGGGGGGGGGAAGAGGAATTATGTAGTAAAAAGTGGATTACTTTTATAGCTTTCTGAATAAACAGCCATAAGGTAACAAGATAAAAAACCATAATTGAAGTGTGAGCTAAATAAAGCAAAATATATAGAGTTTAATGTTTTTTTTGTCAACAAGATGTCTAAGTTCAGACAAAATTGCACTCTATTTAATTTTACTGTTAAATAATTAATATGATTAAAGCAGGTAAAACTTTCATTAATCTTTATTCCATATAGTTAGTATTAGTTAGCATATCTGATATGCTAACTAATACCTATATAACTAATAGTATGATATCATCATTTAATTATTTTAATATCTTAGCATATTTTTTCTTTTCCATGAACCTGTAATAAATATTTTAAATAGCAAGATTTGTAAACTATTTGATTTTATGAGTTTTTTGGCACAAACCTAAGTAACTTTTAAGCAAAACACTAAGTAATGTAAAATTGTTGACTAAAACGCAAAACACTTTTTTCATTTTAATTAAGTTTGATTAAGAAATCAGTGAAAATTAAAGTTTAAAGTAGGTTTTAGTAGTTTTTTTGATACTTTCATAATTTGTAATAAGTAATGGTAATAATTTTATTGAATAATGTTTATGCAGATGGTACATTAACATAAACTGTTTGTATAATACTTAGTACTATTAATACAATACTGTAAATGTGCATTAGAATTGAATTATATGAGTATTGCACTAGAAAAGTATCTAATAACAGTTATTGTATATTTTGACTTTCCATAGTCATTTGATTTTTGTATTTTGCCCTTAATTTTCAGCCAAATTTTTTTTTTAACATATTAGGTAAGATCAATATTTCTCTCAAAAGAATGTTATCAGGTAAAGTTTAGAACTTCAGTATTCAATTCAGACTATCCCAATTCATTGGTGAGGTTTCTCTAGGTAGTGTATATGTTTCAACATTATTATATAATAATGATTTGTTTACTGCAATTAACAATCTTGATTGTTTTAAACAGCTTAATGCTGTTTAAATTAAATTAAACATTTTATTTTGAATTTCAGTTCATAGCCATGACTTAGTTACTGTCCCAGATAAAGTTTCTGTACTCATCTCAGAAACAGGCAACAATATATGTTGCTAGTTAGAAGTATTTTGCACATAGGATTGATCCTGCTTTAATGTGTAAATCCAATCCAATTTTTATTCTTATTATGGACATTTTATGTGAAGACGATACCGACTCCTGCTGTTCACATATTACACTTCTCTTGATTTTTGTGAATACGTAAACTAGATTTGTTTGTCTTAGAGGCACTTGTTACCCTTTTTTGTAATTCAGTTGAAATAATACGATCTATTCCACCAACTTGCATCTTTCTGTCTTATTTTTGGTGAAGAAAAAATTTCTGCTCTTCTTTTTTACTCTTAGACAACAACAATTAATGTAAGATTTCAACTGTAGAGTTTTACTCAAACTGCATTTTATTAAATTAAAACAAACAATTTTTGCAAGAATTTTTTTTTTTCTCTTTTCATTTTGATATATTAGAAACTTTCCATAGATGTTGCAAAAAAATTTGTGTGTGTTCAAAAAAAAATTGGAAAAAAAGACCAAAGTCATTCTTTACAAAAAGTACACCAGAAAATGCATGTTTTTAAGATCATCTTTTGATTGTTGTATCTTAGTCATAAGTGAAAAAAATGTTTCCATAAAGCTGGATTAATGCATATAAGTCTAGCTTTTATGAAATCATATTTTTCAGTCAAATTTTGTAATGATTTATATAGATTTTTTAATAGTTGCATTTAGTAATCTTTAGGAAATAAATTTACCAGAGGTTTGGTACTTAAAATGTAGTAATTTTTTTTAGTAATGTTCTATTTTCTTGATTTTTTAAGCTTTTGTAATGAGTTGAGACTCTTTCCGGTGATCTGTAGTATTTGATCAATTTGAAAATTTCATGTTGTGCACCTATTGATAAGGTCCTTTGCTTATTCTATATAAAAAGAATATTGAATATTGCTCATCAATTTGGTTGCTATATTTTGTCATCTTGGATTAAAAGGGACTGAGCAATCCAATTTATCACAGCTGACTTTAGTTTTCTAATGTAATATTATTGATAAATTATTTTTATATATGACAATATATAATAATTCAATTATTAAACAAACAATTTATAAGACTTTAAAGACATAACTAAAGGCAAGTATTATTTTTTGCATGCAAGTTGTTTAATATATATTATAAAGCAAAAACATTTTTTCAAAAACATATTTTTTGAATATTTACACATAAAAATAAGATTGCCAACAATAAATAATAAAAACTGAAATGAAAAATCAGATAAAAGTATGCTTCAATTGTGTTTTTGTATATATTTTTGGCATTTGTCCCTTTATAATTAAATTTTTTTTTTAGTTAGTAGTTAAACTGTAACTGGACGAATCCAGAGAGTGTGGTTTATCACACTTTGACAGCATTAATCCAAATATATATTAATATACATTAATCCAAATATATATTAATATATAATCCAAATATATCCAAATATATATATTTTTGAAGTAACAACAGTTTCCGGTAAAGCGTTCCATAAATTGGCCATACGATTTAATAAAAAATGATGCAGAGGTAAATAGTTCACAATTTCTCTTTCATATTAAGATTTTGACCTCGAGTAATTGAATCAATTTTAAGCTTCGGTTCATTAATTAAATCAATTTCCTCAAATCTGTTAAGTGCTTCAAACACTTGTATTAAATCCCCACGTTCCCTATTTGATTTCAATGTAGATATATCTAATATTTCCAATCTCTTTTCATAATTAATTTTCCTTAATGATGGAACTAATCTAGTCATCCTGTGTTGAACTTTTTCTAAAAGTGATGTCTCCTTTAAAATAAGGTGACCAAACAGGTACTGCAAACTCAATATGAGGTCAAATAAATACCTTATACAATGTTTTAACCAATTTTGCATCAATTCGTGAAAATGTCATCTTTAACATACCCATCATTGGATTTGCTTTAGAAGTACTTGATATAATTTGTTTTTTCCATTTTAAGTTTGTTGAAAAATATACACCTAAATCTCTCTCGCATTCAGAATCTTTCAGTTCAACACCATTTAGAGTATATTTCAATCGCGGATTATTTATACCATAATGCATTATAACACATTTACTAGAATTAAAACCCATAAGCCACTTTTTAGACCATTCCTCTGCATTATCCAGATCTTTTTGCAAGCTATTTTCCAGATTTATTTCATTCACTTTTGAAAGTATTTTTGTATCATCTGCATACAATTCTGACTTATTTTTAAACATTTTCATTTGCATATATGTATATACACATATAAAACTTTTTTAAAGTTTTATTAGTTTTGATAAAAATAAAATTTTGTTTTAAGTAAATAATAGTTTTTGTAAGAAAATTTGATTGTTAGGTAGAAGTTATAAAAATAAAAATTTAAATATTAGTTTAGGATTTGTTAAGTTGTTTCAATTTATTATCTTTATTTGAAATATTATTACTTTAAAACTTATTATTTAAAATTTGTTATCAATCTTATGTATGTGTGAGAATGAGATTTGCAAATAATTGGATAGTTAAATTTAGAAAAAAAAATGACAGACTTGTTTGATCAATATGTTTTGGAAAAGAAAGCTAATAGATCAAGCTCTACAGAAATATCTTCACAACCAGTATGTTTTTTAAAAGTATTTTAAGATTTTAAGATTTTTACTTATTTATTGCATTAGTTTTATTTATATGTATAGGATATATATATATATATATATATATATATATATATATATATATATATATATATATATATATATATATATATATATATATATATATATATATATATATATATATATATATATATATATATATATATATATATATAACCCTTGAATTTAGGAAAAATGAAGTGGGCAATAACTTGCTGACCTCAATCTTTTTAAGGTCTGCATCAGGTTGGCAAAAATTATTTGATGCAAAGGTCTGACATAGAAACGAGGTCGTCAATTTTTTGCCGACCGCAGTAAGGTTGGCATTGCCGAATGCCGAACCTAATTCCAAGGGTTATATATATATATATATATATATATATATATATATATATATATATATTATATATATATATATATATATATATATATAACCCTTGGAATTAGGGTTGGCATTTGACAATGTCAATCTAACTGCCGACCTTAAAGTGTTTGAGGTTGTCAAAAAATTGCCAACCTTGTTTCTATATTTTATTGTAAGACCTTTGTTTTAAGTTTTTTTTGCTGACCTTATGCCAACCTTTAAAAGATTGAGGTTATGCCGACCTCATTTTTCCTATGTCATTTCAGATATATATCAGACATCTTCATTGTTTATCAACCCATCATAGAATAGTATATAAATTATTAGTTATCACATATAAAACTTTAAAAACCAAACCTCCTGCATATCTATTCAAACTTCTGAAAACCTGAATTTCAAAACAAATTACAAGATTATCAGACAGTTGCTATCAAAAACTTTCCTAGGATCTAAATCTTTCTCCATGAATGCTACTCAAATATGGAATGGCTTGTCTATTAACACATATAACTTAACCACTTTAGAAACATACAAAAAAAAAGACTATAATACAAACTTTTTGTTGACGCTTTCAAGAACTTATCTATTAACTTATTAACTTATTTATTAACTTTTTCAGTACTTCTGAATAATTTCATCATTGTTATGATTGTTGCAAATGATGGCATTTTGATCTCTAATTATTATTATTGTATATTTGCATGCTATTCTCTCTCTCTCTCTCATATATATATATATATATATATATATATATATATATATATATATATATATATATATATATATATATATATATATATATATATATATATATATATGTATATATATATATATATATATATATATATATATATATATATATATATTTATTTTTTATTTTTTATTTTAATTCACCTCCTCAAGGCCGAGAAGGCCACTACAGACGAGGAGGCTACTTATTTGTGGCTATAACCCTCTCTCAACTCTATAACTCCGAAACACGAACCTTGACGAACAAGGCCGCTGCGCGGAGAAACGAGTTGAGCGCAGTACTACCAGGGACGTGGTGGGGATTGAACTCGGAACCACTCGTTTATGAAGCGAGCGCTCTACCACTACAACTCTACCGCATTATATATATATATATATATATATATAATACATATATATATATATATATATATATATATATATACATATATATATATATATATATATATATATATATATATATATATATATATATATATATACATATATATATATATATATATATATATATATATATATATATATATTATATATATATATATATATATATATATATATATATATATATATATGAGAGAGAGAGAATAGATATATGAGAGATATATATGTTTTCTTTGAAATAGAAAGAGTCGTTAAGAGCTGTTATGTGTATATATATATATATATATATATATATATACATATATATATATATATATATATATATACATATATATATATATATATATATATATATATATATATATATATATATATATATATATATATATATATATATATTTCCTTATAGTGTAGTCGAAAGAGTCTTTTAATGTAAAAAAAGTCTCTTTTGACTACAATTTTAATTACCTCGTCTCTTAAGCTGTATTTGATTGTTGTCGAAATGTCAAAGCAATTAAATTAATGCGGAAGTACATTAAATTTAATTGTTTTTTAAAAATTTTTTAAAAAACCACAAGAATAACGACTAGAAAGTTTTTTTTTAAGTAGTTGTGATTTTGTTTTTGTTTTATTAAAAAACATTTTTTAAACATGCGTAAATATTGCTACAGCCTGACTCGCAACGGAGTGCTGCTACATCGACTGACAAATAGCCTGACTCGCAAGGGAGTGCTGCTACATCGACTGACAAATAGCCTGACTCGCAAGGGAGTGCTGCTACATCGACTGAGGGTTTGGTTTGGGCAGGCAGTCTATCATTTAAAAAAAAAAAAAAATTTTAGTTTTTAAACTTATTCTGGTCTGGTTTATTAATGCGCTCTTTAAAACTACAGTTTATGGGAAACTCTTTTTGACTACCACGCAAGAGTATATATATATATATATATATATATATATATATATATATATATATATATATATATATATATATAATATATATATATATATATATATATATATATATATATATATATATATATATATACACACACACACACATCTAAAATGACCATTTGTGGTAAAAAACAGCTCTTAACGACTCTTTCTATTTCAAAGAAAACAAAATTAAGTACACTATAAGTAAAAACCTTTAAATTCAATTGAGGAAACTAGTTAAATTTTATCATTTTTTAAAAAACCACAAAAGTTAATAGATAGAATGTTTTTAAAAACAATCAGAATGTTTTTATTTTTTATTGCTTACAATCAATTCACCAATTTTTTTCCGGTCTTTTTAATTATTTATTTAAAAAAGTTATTAAAAGAAAAAAGTTAATATTTTATTGTAAAAATAAAATGACTAAGCTAGAGTATATAGCTTGGTCATTTTATTTTAGCTTTGTCAAGCTAGAGTAACAGCTCCTAATATATATATATATATATATATATATATATATATATATATATATATATATATATATATATATATATATATATATATATATATATATATATATATATATATAGTAATAGCAAAAGTAGTTAATGCTTTACTGGACAAATCCAGTGAGTGTGATGTCGCACACACTATGACAGCAGTTATGCTTGATTGCTGTTCAGCCAGCATTCAAGACCTCTTTTAAAACAATTAACAGACTTTGCTGTTACAATTTCAATTGGAAGTAAATTCCATGTATTCGCAATTCTGTTAAAAAGAAAATGTTCCCTCGAAGGATGTTTAGCGAGTTCTTTGTGGTATTTAAAGCAATGCCCTCTTAAAGAATTTTTAACAAGTAGAAAAGACTTTCTTATTTTTGTTTTGTCAATACCATGCATAAGTTTGTATAGTGCTATCAAATCTCCCCTTTTTCTTCTCTCAGTTAAGGTTGTTAAGCCTAAAGCAATAAGTCGATCTTCATATTTGAGATTGCTAATTGATGAAACAATTTTAGTTGCTCTGTGTTGTATTTTCTCAATCGCATTACAATCTCCTTTCATATAAGGAGACCAAGCTGGAATTGCAAATTCAAGAAGTGGACGAATGAATGTTAAATAAAGAGATTTCATAAGTTGACAATTAAAGCTCGCAAACAATTTCTATATTCGCCCCAGCATTTGATTTGCTTTTCCAATTGCCATAGTAACTTGATCTTTCCATTTAAGATTTGTCGAAAATATAACTCCAAGATCTCGTTCAGACTTAGAATCATGAAGTTGTATACCATTAATGAAAAATGGATAATTTTTATTAGTTGAGCCATAATGCATGACAACACACTTGTTTATGTTAAATTTCAGCAACCAGTCTTGAGTCCATTCAAATGCTTTATTCAAGTCATTCTGGATTTCTTTGACACGCAAATCTGAATTTACTATTGATAAAATTTTGGTATCATCAGCATATAACTTTGAAACATTTTTGATTGTATCTGGAAAATCATTAATATAGACAACAAAAAGGAATGGTCTAATTACTGAACCCTGTGGCACACCACTAAATACTTCAACCCAATTAGAGACAATGTCACCCTTAACTACTCTGTCTCCTATTTGTGAGAAAAGAGGCAATCCATTTCAGTACTAATCCATCAATACCATAAGCTCTTAGTTTTAGTAACAGTCTGTTATGAGGAACTGTATAAAAGGCCTTTGCAAAATCTAGTAGAACAACATCAACTGGAGTATGATTTTCGATGTTTAACATTATAAAATCAATTGTTTCTAAAAGATTTGTTGTGCACGATTTATTCTTTATGAATCCATGCTGATGCTCTGTTAGCAAATTATTTTTGTAAAAATAAGTTTCAATTTTGTTAAGAATAATACCTTCAAGTATTTTGCACACAACTGACGTGAGGGAAACTGGTCTATAATTAGCTGCAACTGCCTTGTCACCTTTTTTGAAAAGAGGAGTTATATTTGCAGATCTAAATTGAATTGGAAGTTGGCTTGAAGCTAATGATTCTCTGAAGATTAATGTTAAAGGAAGTGCAAACGCCTCTGAAGCATTCTTTAGCATGGCAGGATGGAGTTTATCAGGTCCGAAGGCTTTATTTTTGTTAAGACTCTGAAGCCTCTTCAAAACATCATTATAATTGATTTCGTCTGGAGATATATCAAAAAAAGTTGTAGCACAATTGCTAAATCTTGACTCAAACTTAGGAAGGGCATCATCAGGTTCAATAACAAATGCATCTTGAAAACATTTGTTTAAAATATTAGCGATTTCAACTTGATCTTGTGAAATATATCTATCGTCTTTTCGTAAAGCTTTTATTGAATCTTTTACCACTAACTGATTGTTAATATATTTATATAGCAAATTTGGATTTTGCTTAGCTTTTTTAACTAAGTCTTGTTCATAATTTGTTTGAGAACGCTTCACTTCAGATTTTATAATCCGACATAGTATTATATAATCTTTACTCAAATTAGCATCTTTCCATTTTTGAGCACAGTTTCTGTATCTCAA